CTGTATTACAATTTACAGAGGTCAAGTTATTCTCAAATAGGATGAAAATAGGGATCAAAATTAAAAGAGTGTTAAATTACCCAGTGATAGACAAAATCTTGTCTATATGGTAAAATATATCATGATTCTGAGAGATCATCATGAGGTTTGACTAATGATTGTATGTACGTTGTAAGGGGCTTCTGTGGCCCCCTAATTTATTTTCTTTTCTATTTTTATCTTTTCTTACTATTTTTATATTTTTGAACCGGTTATAGCATATATTTACAGGCTTAGTAGCCCTAGACAATATAGTAATTACGTAGATTACCTATTTTGGTATAATCGAAGGTAAAGAAGATTGCAAAAATGAAATAAATGAAATTTATTTCATTTTCTTTACCTTCTTAATGAAGAAAACTTGTTAACATATGTAGAGCAAGGTGCTGAGCCATTAAAGCCGTAGCAATGTAAAAACTATATAATACGATGTCTTTTCATGAATAAAGATAACTCTTTTGAGTTCTAAAACTTTAAAACTTCGAAATCGATTATAGTAGAAGTGATTAATACTTAGCAATTTCCTGTGACATCATAAACTCGTGATCTCCTAGTATAATAAAATTCCGATCTCCGCTAATATACTTTCTCGTGACGTAGAATTAATAGCCGATATTGATACCGCTGTTAGAAGCCGAATATTGAATCACTGAACGCCGCAGTTATTGAGATGACATCACACGTGACCAAGAAAGCCGTAATACACTAAAGAAGAAGAATATAGAATATTAGTATTGAACATTTCGATATTAGCAAGACAATATAAGGGGTATAAAGCCAAGGATACTTATATTAACCTAGTAACACATTACAAGATCCAAGAGACCTTTTAACTCAGACCAAGTCCTCCATGCCTCTATTCGAAGCCTTCCACTACAAGGTCCTTGGAGTTTTGACACTATTTTTGGAGTATTAGAGTTGTAGATTAGATAGTTTAAGTGTTTTAGTGTAGTATTTAGTTAGTTTTAGCCTTAAACGACTCAGTCACACTTTCACAACGTATATGAAATTTTGTTGATCATTTCTATTAGCCATATAGATTTTCACTTTTTGTCATACACATTGTTTTTTTTGTCATAATGTGCTTTTTTATCTTCTATACTTTTGATTCGATATATTAAGTTATAGAGTACTTATGATATTAGATCTAGTGTTTCCCAATATTCTAACTTTTACCTCTGCCTTTTTTTAAAAAAAATTTTTAATATGAACCAGTCTACAAACCAAATATTTAGTGCTCAACCGCAAAATAATAATAATAATAATAATAATAATAATCCAAGACACCACAATTTTTGTTGATCTGCGCGATTCTTTTAACCAACTTCAACAATATATTAATCTAGTTGAAGGTGTTGAAGGCATAGCTTTATTCACCAGAACTCAAGGAGCAGAAAATCAAATACCACGAGATAACCAACTCTTATCATTGCTAATTTTAGGATTATCTTTTCCATAAATATAGCTAGATATAAATATATTTTTTATGTTTTTTTTTCATTCTGAATATAAGGTTACTTTTAAGAGTATATGGGCTAGGTGCTGAAAAAGGAACGAAAATGACAATTTTTTCAAACCAAATTTTTTTACATAAATTATTTTAGAATAAGATTAGAATCTTTTTTCACTTAAGACACAAAAGTAATTGTATTAATAAAATTTTGCAGTATAGCTTTTTAAAGTTTGTATTTTCTTATAATCTATTATAAGATTTATAACACAAAAATTGATTTTCTAGAAGTGTGGTAACTTAGTGTAGTGGTCTAGTTGTCACCCTCTCCAAGTGGCAGGTCTAGAGTTCAAATCCCACTAGTGATGATATTTTGAAAAATAGGCCTATGTTCAGTTGATGGCTTATCGGTTGAATTCTAAATCTGTAACTTCAGTCACACCATCTTAAAATAGAAGCTTTGGTACAATAAATCTAAAGAATCGATATAGCCAAAAACCCATTTGGGAAGTTCTGAATTTGGATGTAATAGCGATCTTCGATGTTATTACAGAAGGGCTAAATTCAAACCACGGCCCAAGATCAGAAAACCAAGTGACCAGGTCCTATGGCGGAGGATACACTAGCCGAACCGTGGGTTGTTGTATTAGAGGAAAAGGGCATACGCTTCGAAAGTATGAACCAAGGGGAGGGTGTCCTTTAGGCATCTAAAGCCTGGGTAGACCAACCCTTCCAAGTTGTCGGCTAGAAGTAAGGGAGTGACCAATAGAGAATTCGGATAAGGAGACAGTTCCAAATATGGGTACTGGGGTTGTTGTGAACCAATTAAAGGCAATGAGTACATAATAGGAGACTAATTAGGAAGTTTGTGGCTTGAAATACAGATTAGGTTATGGCAGTACCCTAAAAAGTAGCTTGAGATATGAACCCGGTATTGGCAGTATAACAGGTACTAGTTAGGAAGAAGTTGCCAAACATGCAGGTAAATACATGTGTAGAACATGTACTGCTCTGTTGGGTTTACTCTTGAGGATAGTTAAGTGTTCTAAGTTGGCTAGTAAATGTAGTGGTGTCACAAAATTTACTACCCGTATAATGAGTTACACTCACGTTAGGTAGGGTTAGGCCGAATATGTTAAGATCAGAATGTTTAAATGAGTACCCCCTAGTTGGGGTGCAGGTACGGCAGATAGTGTAGAACCTTCGAGTGGACTACTTAAATAGGCACTCAAAAGATACATATATGGCTTGATATATTTTCGTCATAATGTATAGTTTCTAATACTTGCTTAATAAAATCTCGCTGACAATTAGAGTCACCTTTGCCAAAAAAAAAAAAAAAAATTGATTTTCTGAAGATCTTTTTTTTTTTAATTTCAATCCTTTTTTCAGCATCTAGTCTATATACCGGGTGTTTCAAAAGTTCCTATACAGTCTCTTTTTTTTTAAAGTGACATATATAGAGATCATGATGATTATTTATACAACACTTAAAAAAAAAAAAAGACCATGTATAGGAACTTTTGGAATACCCAATATAGTATTGCACTTAAGAGGTGTGCCATGTGGCACTTAAGGAAGTGTGAAAAGCATGTATATTACACAAAAACACAGTAAATCCTATATAGTTACGTTCCTAAAATACACACCCTTTCTGTCACACCCACTTAAGACGTCTACCATGTGACACGGGGAACATGTGACAAGTATACATTTTGTCGCGTCCCCTGTAATGTGTCACATGGTAGACGCCTTAAGTGGGTGTGACGAGGGTATGTGAATTTTAGGAACGAAACCATATGATTTACTAAGTGTTTTTGTGTAACATACATGTTTTCACACCCCCTAAAGTGTCACATGTCACACCTCTTAAGTGCAAATACTCTATATATATATGTCATAGATTATTGCTCGTCAACCTATTTGGTCCACATGGGGGTACAATTTTTTGTGGGATAGCTACTAGCGTTGGCAAATTGAAGATCCGATCCCGATATTTTTTCCCGTGACGTAGTCTGAGGATCTTAAGTATTGAATTTCCAACAATTGTTGCTACGTGACACGTGAACCTAAACCGCAGTACCTTTGTAATAGAAGAATTGAAGGTGTTAGTGTTGATATTTCCTGGCGTAATAAATCCATAATACAAGCCTGAGCCAGTTGAAAACTTAACCAGAACCCAACAACGTTACAATAAGACCCTAAAAAGCTCTAGAACTCGGACCAAGTCTTTCCACGCCTCTCTTCGAAGCCTTCCACCTTAGGGTTTCGGTCTTATTATATTGTTGTTAGATAGATTAGTTGATTGTGTGGAGTTAGATAGTTAGTTTTAGTATAGCACCATTAGTTGCGACCTTCTCAACGTTCATCAATGTTAGTTTGAAAAAATCAATCATAATAGGTTCTAGTGAAGATCTGCAGTCAGTGTAACAATGTTTGACTACGTTATATAGGTAAAAATGATTTTCTAAACAGCTTTGCGTATAATTCATTTTACTTCGGTAAAGCACGTACGAAGCCCACCCCAAAAAAGATGTTTATTTTTTTAGATGCGCGCAGTATTTAATAAATCTATTTAAGTATATTTTGAGCATATACATAGTAATTATAATTGATAATTAATAAATCTAATTTTTTAATATTTGAGATTGTTGCTTCAGACTTTTATCAGATCCTGATTTCCTAGTCCTATAATAAATAATTTAATTTTTTTAATAACTATTGATCGTTACGAACGTATGCAGTAATACTAACGTTAATGTAGTGTAAATCAAATCATTATATCTATTTTATTATCCAAAAAGGAAATACGTATATTATAATACATTAAAGGTAATAATAATCCAGAAATTACAAATTCTTTTATTCAGATGTTGGACAAAAAAAAAGTAATATCTAACTTACTGTATCGTAGTACATAATAATAATTCAAACTTTTATTAAATATACTTCTATTTATACGATTGTAAATAATTTAAAGTATTTTTTATAAAAGTTATTAACCATAATTTTTTAAATTGTGAAAATATTCTTAACTTAATTTCTTAATATTACATATTCATAATTTGCTCGAATTACAATTGTAAAAAATCATCCATTCACTCTAGAACTAGATTTTCGAAATAAATAATATTAGATTTTGCCACTCTGAAAATTAAATTATAAATAACATTAGATTTTGCCAAATTTCGTATCAGTTATTTAAATAATGCATTATTGTGATCATTGTGTAATGTGAAGGGATTGAAAATTTAATAATCGACTCTTGTATATTGCCGTAGGGTCAATAGTTTGACTCTTGAATATAGATCTTTTCCTATTATCATCTTGAAATTGTCGTGAAGTTATTGAAGTAGGATTATGTTGTATAGCCGTTGCCCAGCTATCTAACTTCTCACATAGCTCTACCATATTAGGACGTTCTTCGGGATTTTTATGCCAGCATCTTTTCATTAGTGATAAGTATACTTCCGGAGTATTAGTAACGATTTCTGGTCGTAAATCATTACATATGCATGTTGCAAGATCAAGGTCATGAGGATCTTTACAAAATGGGCGTTCGCATTCTGATAAAGTCCACATTATAAGACCAAAACTATATATGTCTGACGCTTGTGTACAATTATTACCTCTTAATACTTCAGGTGCAATGAAAGGCAAGACACCATAAATGTCAGAATTCGTTCTATCTGCAGGACCATATAAACCGACGTCTGTGATTATTGCATTATTGGCCGAAATTAACAAGTTACCACCATGAAGATTACCATGATAATGACCATTATAATGTATTCGTTTAAGACCATGTATTATACTGCGAAGAATAAAAATCACATTTTCCCAGCGAAAATTTTCCATATCATCGATATATTGATATAAGTCTTTATCGTATAGTCTCATAACGAAAATAAAGTAACCTTTAGGATCTCGTGATACGCCAAAGAAATCAGCCACAAATACACCATATAGATACTGATGATGTTTCAAAACCTAAATAGGATAAAAAGAGATCATCTTTTTAATTAAGATAGATTTAAGAATTGTTAACGTTAAACAAATCATATAAAGTATATACTAACATTGTCGAAGTATTCTGTACTTAATGATTGTGAATTTTCAATCCTTTTTAATGCACATTCTATTGGGCCATTTCTAATCCAGTCGGTATCATATTTATCC